GTTCTCATAGAACTTACATTCTAGTAGGAGAAAAACAGTTAACAAAAGTCATATCAGATGGTGACAAGAGATAAGATAAAACAAGGGACATAATGTGATGAGCATTCTAGCATATTTGTCATCTTTCCTGATTTCTTAATCTTGTCTTCTGCTCTGCTTGACCTATTTCACTGTCCATTTATTTTCATTGTATACTTTTTTAAGATAACCTTTTATTTCCCTCTCACTCCTAATCTTTAACCCCGCTGCGGTCTAACTTTTGATTTTGCTAGTCCACAAAACCCACCCTTTATAGTATTAATGATCTTTGAAAAGCCTATATTCTCTTCTCAGTTTACAACCATCTTGATCTACATGTAAAGCTATTGCCTTTTCCCCCTATTAACTCATGTGCTGCTATCTCTAGTACAATTTTCTCATTTTTTTTTTAAACTATTTCCTTCTCTCTCAATTATCTGTTAGAGTTCTCTAAAGAAGTTTGGCCTTTCTTTTGCCTTTAATACTCCTGTGGTGAATTGATCATCTCACATGATTTTAATTGCTTTCTGAGAGCATATGACTGAGATCTCAATTCTTAGCTCACGCTGCACTGCTGTCTTCCAGGTTAGCTAGTGGAGCTGAGATGAACAGCTGATTGCTACTCATTTAGCAAGATTCTTTTCCTCTTAGTCGTTTCTCTGGCAGATTTCTCCTGTTCAGGCTGATTAACACATAGGTTATTTACATTACTGCTTTAATGATCACCTGTGACTCATGGTGTAACAATTCACAGTGTTCAGTCAACCTGAATCAAAGGGGTTATTCCTTCATGGATGCTAGTGAATTTTCTACTTTTAAGTCTTCTAAAAGATCGGCTGAGTTCAGAAGTAAAAAAAAAAAAAAAAAGAAACAATTGTCTCTTGACTTGTAGTGCTATAGCACTGATTTTCAACAAACTTTTAATTCTTTTGTCTGGTATTATCCTTGTGTTTTCATTCAAGCTACTGTCACAGTCACTGAGGCATGAATTTTTCCTTTTGTATAGAGGAGGAAATTATGCCTTAGAGAAGTTAACAATATACCACGGTCACAATTGAGATTCCAATCTAGATCCTGAGTCAAAGTCATAAATGCTCTAAGTTCTTTATAAACTATAAAGCATTATATCTCTGTGTGGGTGGGAGGGAAGAGAGAAGGGCTTATTAGAATTACTTGGGAGCTTTTTCAAAATACTCAGTCCCATTTCACCTCCTGCTCTCAAATAATGTATTATATAACTGTTAGTTTGTTAAACATTTTCCTAAATGTGAATAGTTTGTCATTCAGTTTAATATACACTTGAAGACTGCTCATATTAAAAGGAATTCCATATTCTTCTGTTGGTGACAGGCTATAATACATTAGCTTCTATTGAAACATACCCATCAGTAAATGACTGGTTTTACTACCCATATTCTGGTTGTGTCATTCAACACAAACTTACTTTCTTGCATGTTGGTTTTCAGAGGATTTGGAGAAAATGCTATGAGGTGCTGTTGGCACCAACTTAAACTGTATAAATTATGGATGTAATTGAATAAGTTGATATAATTGTTCAACAGTAGTTGCTCCAGAGATTTGAGTTTGTAATTTGGAGGACACTTTGAGATTTTCCTGGTTTACTGTGAACTTTAGCTGTCTTTTGTGAGATTTCCATATTGCTGGTTATTTCCTGAGTAGAGAGAAGAAGATCAACATATGTTTGATTTATCAGTTAACCAGCCTGAGGTTCAGGACACCATTTAGGAGCAGTAATCTAGATTAAAATGAAGAAAACAGAAACTAAGGCATTGAAGCCAGAGCAGATTAGAAAGATATCTAGGAACTAGAGTTGGTAGTAAATGGTAGTTAATTGGGGACCCTAAAGGTGTTGTTATTTAGGGGACTCAGTATATAATATCCTTTTCCTTTACCTGAATTCTGAACTGACGGAGGAATAAAACAAGAACTAACAGGTGAAAAATGAAATATTACCATTTGTAAAATTATTTTTTTATTGATAAAAATTCACATACCATGAAGTTCACCATTTTAAAGTGTACAATTCGGTGGTTTTATACTAAAGATTTTTATTCACAAGGTTATGCGACTGTCACCACTATTCCATAACATTTTTATCGTATCAGAAAGAAACCTGTTAGCATTCACTCCTCACCCCCATCACCCATCTCCCATCTCCTGGCAACCACTAATCTACTTTCCATTTCTAAGATTTGTCTAGTCTGTACATTTTGTATAAATGGAGTCATGCCATATTTTGACTTTTGTGTATGACTTCTTTCATGCAGCATGAGGCTCTCAATGTTGTAGCACGTAATAGTACTTCATTCCTTTTTATGACTGAATAATATTTCATTGTAAGTTATGTAGATACTGTGTAGATATGCCACAATTTTTTTATCCGCTTACCAGTTGATGGTTATTTGGTTTACTTCCACGTTTTTGGCTATTAATGAATAATAGTATTATGGACATTATGTGCAAGTTTTTGTGTGAACATATGTGTAAATTCTCCTGGGTATACACACACACATACACACACGTGTGTATGTGTGTGTGTGTGTGTATCCCTGCCTAGGAGTAGAATTGCTGGGTCATATGGTAACTTTTGGAGGAATACCTTTTTTCTGATGAGGTGATATTGTAGAATGTGGCTTAGGTGTAAGAACCAAATGGGCTGGCTAACTTTCCACATTCTCTTGTTCCCACCCAGCAGAACTTAATTTAGACCATAGGACAGCCCACCTGATGACTAGATTGTTAGAGTCAGCAGAGCAGACACCCCCAGATTACTTTTAGAGTCTGGATGTAGAGTTTTGGAGTTAGCTGTACCCACTAACCACGTTTCTTACTTACCTCTTTGGTGAAGTGTGGGCTAAGAGCCCAGGAGTGTTCAGAGAAGTCTTTACGCTTAGAATTCAAGAGTTGGAAAGAAGTGTGCTGCTCTAACAAAGGTAATAATGTAAGGGATTAGGCTAGAAACCTGAAAGCCGTTCTTAGATAAAGTGGCACAGTAAGATGATGAAATAAATCAGTTTTGGACATGATAAGTTTGAGTTTTCCAGGAGGGAGTGTTGGATAATAATGTTTGGAGATCAGGAAATTGATCCCTGCTAGAGCTATAAATTTAAGGTCCATCTGCATACAGGAGTAGGTAAATCACCTGTAAAGTAAAACGGTAGAGAAAAGTGTCTAGTAATTTCCGTATCTAAAATCTTTTAAGGTTTTGATTCTGCCAGCTGATGTTCCAGCTGTATCTCACTCTGCGTGGCTTGCTTCCTTCTGAATTTTGTGATTTTTGATTGTGAATTTATTAGTTTTGGAACCTTATCTGTGGGAATTCTTCCAGGCTGAGAGCAAAGGCAGATCCTCAGAGAAGATCTGCCTTTGCTTCCGTTAAGGTTGGGTGGGGGGCACTACCTTTTGAGAATTACCGTAAACAAAATTCTAAGTGTGAAGCCTTTAAAACCATAATATAGGTGAGGGTTAGCTTATGGTTGTGAATATCAGAAGAGATACTATTATAAGCTATCATACCCCCAACCCCTCAACAGCACTCAGTGCCAAGATTAAGAAACAGTTTTCCTTCCAGTTCTCTTCGGTAACACCTAGACTTTGCTGCTAGTACTTTGGGCCCTAGTAGGCTTTGGAATTGCAAGTTGAAATTTATAGGGTTTGGCAAAAAGCGCTGAAGGTGAATGAAAGCTGGTTTAAGTATTCTGCATACTTTTCTAATTTTCCTTTCACTTAGTTTTTGGCCTTGATTATACCTTATTTTCTTTCAGGTTATTGATTAATTTATAAAGATTTAAAGATATTTTATCCAGCATTTGTTATTCTCAGTGATCATGTGGATATTTATTCTGTCATTCTGGCAGAAAAAGAAGTGTGTGTCTCTTTTCAGTGCATGCAGGGACAGTTAGATACAGGAAAGTCAGCCTCTATATCAAAGATTATAAACTTGGGACAAAATCCAGTGTTTTGTTTGGCCCACATAGTATTTTGAAAATAAAAATCAGATTTAAAATAAAAATTCGAATATCTTGTTTTTTTTTTCTTTTTGGAAAAATGAGAATATCTTACAACACTGGACTTGTAGTCATGCTTAGCAGCAAGTGGCTAGAACTGAGAATAGCAGCCGATTTCTTCAGAGTGAACTTGTTTTCTTCAAATGCTTACCATCTCCACCAATTGTGCAACATACACATGTGTATGCACATACCATTCCAACTTCTCTCATTCATGTTATGTGTAGACATTTGTGGATTATCCTTGTGCCAGATAGTAGTGCTAAATGACAGTTTCACATTTATTCACTGATTTAATTCTAAGAAGAAACCTGCAATTTATTCCTGATATATAGTATTATCCTCAAGTTACAGATGAAGAAACTGAGTTGAGTGAGGGTATATAAATTCTTCAAGGTCTCATGGTGTCACAGCTGCAGTTTGAACCTAGAACTGTCTTATTCAAAGCTCCTACTGTTTCAGTGCTAGTCTTAACTTTTTGTTTTTTGAAGCAATGGAGCTGTTTCAAATGAAGTCTTAGTGAAGTCCAGTATGTGAAACCAATAAAGGTAGCACAGCTTTGATGACAAGTAGATGGGGTGGGGGACAATTATGTGGGAATTGGAATATGAGTGCTTAGCTCTTTAGTAGTCTTTAGGCAACTCTCTGGAATCCCTAAGATTCTACTAAACATTTAGGATACACTATCTCTATAACATTAGCATGTGAGTTTTCAGCTCCTTGGAACGTTATAGTTACAATATGCATGTTTCTCTTAGGCTTGATGGTATGTCTGTCTTCCTCAGTGTAATCCCTCTTACTACATTTTTGATTCACATGGGTACGTGTTCAGAAAATGGTGAATATTTTAGCCTTCTATTTCTGTTTTCAGAGTGTTTTAATTAGAACTGTACCATGATTTATAGTTTCATTTACTTTGGAACATCTGATAACTAACTCTTCTCTACTTTTCAGATTCTCTTTGTGGCCAGATGGGTTTGTATGGACAGGCTTGTCCATCTGTAACTTCATTAAGGTGTGCTCTTTTTTTTTTTTTTTTATTGGAACATGTAACATTTAAAAAGTTATGCCAGTTAAGTCACATTAGAATGAATTTCAGGATGAGGTTCTGAATAAAATACTATAGTTTGTTTTGTCAAATAATGCTATTTGATGTGAGGTGGGAGATATTTTTGCTTACAGAGGTATTTATGGTAATGGGATTTGGATCTTAATCTCCACTTAGTTTACATATGTTCTTTTACATGAAATAACATTATTTTACACTTCTTTGTCATTCCTTTTTTAAAGAAACTAATCTGCTCTCTGCTTGTTTAATTAGAAAATACGTAGTAAATTTTTATTGCTTTGGTAGCAGATTATTAAATAAGACTAGATACTAATTTTGACCTCTTTCTAAAGGATGATGTAAACATCATACCTAGGTTATTCTCATTTACAATAAATAAGTAAAATGTAAAAAGTAGAAACTAAGTTGTATACAACTCAGTGATTTTAGATTTTTTTGAGGTTGCTAAATCCTTTACAGATTAAATCTTATGTGAAATCTAATGAATAAAACAGATGAATGTGGGATTTTTCTGCTTGCTTAGGCTTTCATTTTCTACCCTCACACTTGCCTCTGAGGGATTGCCAGAGTACCCAGAGCACAGTTTGGTAAAATAACCTAAATCTTATCTGTTAATTGAAATCTTTCGGACTAGTATATGAAGTGTTGATGGCAGCATCTGCTAGTTACATTTGGTGTTGCAGCTAGCTGTATCATTTATTCATGCAGCATGTTGAGCACCTAATATATTGTCAAGCACTATTCTAAATGCTGGGGCTATAGCAGTGAACATAGATAAAAATCTGTGATCATGAAGCTTATATTCTGGTGAAGGAACAATTAATGCACAAGATCAGAAAGTATCTGTTAGTGACGGTGATAAGGGCTAAGGTGAAAAATAAAATAGAAAAGGGGAATAGAAAATACGGGTGTGTGTGTGTGTGTGTGCGCGTGTGCGTATGCGTATGTGTGTATGTGTGTATGTGTATGTATTTTTAGATAGGATAGTTATGGGAAGCTTTATTGAAAAGGTGTTATTTGAATGCAGACCTGAAAGAGTGATGGAACAAGCCATTTATTGGGTATATGGATGATGTGTATTCCAGGCAGAGGGAATTGAGGAAGTGCTAAGGCAGGAGATTTGCCTAGTATGTAGGAGTAACAGTGAAGAGGCCAGTGTGGCTGGAACAGAATAAGTGATGAAGAGAGTTGGAATTGCCTGGCTTTGGAGGGCGGAAGGAGAGGAAGGTACAAAATTGTAAGAGCCACGAATGTGAAACCAAGGAGTCCTTAGGCTTGAAAGAAATTCTGGTTGTCTAGAATGCCACAAAAGAAAAATGAAGTTGCCTTTTCAGTGTTTACGTACTTTAATTTTCAGCAGGCCAAAGCTGGCTATTCTTTTTCCTCAGTAAAATGCTTTGCCCCATGCCATATGATACTTCTTTCCCTGAGAGTGCATCTTCTATCTTAAAATGGAAATAGATGGAGATTGATTGATTTTCTCCTTTGCTAAAGTCTGTGTGTCCCCTCTCCCCCGTCCCCAAACAAGGGACACCTGTGTATCTCTGAAAAGAGCTTTTTAAAAAGAGTATCATCTTTTCTTTAATCCCCAAAGCTGTTGTATAAAGATATTTTAGTGTGGAATATGCTGAAACAAATCATATATTAAAGTCACTGAGATTTTAAATCCCTTTATTTGAATATTTGTGTTTAGGTTAAGCTTATATATGACATTGGATTAGGACTAATATATACCTTTTTTGCTAGATATAGAATTTGAAGGGACGATGAAAGAGAAGAAATACCATGAACTATTTTGTAATTTGTTCACTGTGTGTTATAATTCTTTTCACTATATTCTAGAATTAATTTCTTTGTGTGGATGCAGCTATACATTTAGTCTTTAATAAACTGAGAAGCTCTATAGCATTTGAGTTGGGATATTTAGTATTTTTCATTTTTGTAATATTCTGTATGGTCCATCTGTGAAGCAGAGAAGACCATTGTTTGTCATTGATTTTTCTAACTGGATGCCAGCATTGGTTTGATTATAAGAGAAGAAAAGATTACGTGGTGTTTTTTTTTTCTTTTTTTGGTGATGGTGGGAAATTCGATTACTTAAAACCACAATAAATTTTAGTCTGCTTTCCCATAGTCTTCCTCAAACCAGAAGTATCCTCCCCAACTACACTATCCAAATAGGAATAGAGCCATAACTCTTAAAGTACTTACACCCACTGGCAAACACTGCTTGTTTGCCATACCTTTCTCATATCTAGAAAGTGGCCAACTTCAAGACAAGAAGCATCTCAGTTGGTGGAGAAGAACTGGACTCGTGGCTGAGAATGAGAAAAGGGATAGTCAGGTAGGGGTTTGTAGGCATAGTTAAGAATGGGAATTGACAATTTATAAGTAAAGTTAGAGGGTGGAATGAATACATGTGACATCTAAAAATTTTGTTGGGTAGGAAAGGGTATTTAGTAAATGGATTAAAACTTCCTCTCCCCCCTTTAAATATTTAAGGTAAACAAGTATTTTTGATAGACGATATTGGATCCTAGTTTAATTTGAATGTGTTAGGATTATTTTTAAAATTATACTTATTCTATTTTTATGAATAAAACGTAATACATATTTCTCGTAGATAATTTGGAAAGACAGAGATAGCTGTTGTTCATATCTTCATATTATGTAATTTTATACCAATAGGTACTGTCTGTGAATTAGAAAAAGCCCAGTAAATTTCCTTTAAAAGAAGGTTGCAAAAGATTTTGTACCAATAACTAAGTATACTGTTTAATTTTAACCAAGTTGCTCTGCCAAGAGGGGGCACTAAAGATGGACTGCAAGCCTGGAAAAGGAAAAAGATACTTGTTCCTTCCTGTCTATTCTTTGTGTTTCTTAAGAGTATTACTCCATCAAAGGCTTCTCATCCCTACAGGAGAGCTTTATAGGGACCAGCTGTCAAAGCAGAATTGTGATGTGCAGAGTCCCAGTTCCAGGATGATTAAAGATTGGGAAGAAAGGATAAGGGTTTGGAGCTGAGGGGCAATAACTTAATAACTTGTTCCAGCAAACCTAAGAAATATGGTATAAAAAGATATTTTCTCAGGTCTGTTTTGCATGTTGCTAAAAAAACCGGAACCCTAATTTTGTGACTCATGTGAAATTATATTAAAAATTTACATAGGATTCACAAGTATGCCTTGCAATCTGAATCCACTACATTTATATCCTGAGTTTGAATAGTACGAGTCTGGTTAGTGAATACTGGGTCATCTACATCTCTATTCAGTTCCTCAGCTTTTGATAGCAAGAGTGAGAGTCTAGATAATGATGGATACAGTTTCTGTCAAGCAATAGAATCTTAAAAATTTAGCAGTATCCATTTGATTCGAGTTTGCATAAGATGGATTTGAATCCTAGGTATACCTGTGTTTTATATCCAAGTATAGATTCAGTAAGAGCAAAAAAGCTTACTGAAAAAGCAAAAGCTTTCCTAGAACATTTGCTTTATTTAGACACGTTAGCACATATATTTACATAACCCACTTCTTTCACATATTGTAGCAATAGACTATTTTTATAATTTGGTTTGATCAAAGCAAAATAAAATTTGATGTTTCTTTGGACTTGTTAAAATGGGGCCTTTCCTGCATTTCTAAATTGGCTAACATCAATTAGAAGATTTATTTTATGGTTCATCCATGTCCTCAGCCCGGGATACTGTGTTATCCATAGCACTTTAGTTTCTGGTAACTTTCACTACTTTCTATATTGAGATCTCTTCCTCTTGTTTTCTTTTCTGTTTTTTACCCCTTTTTCAAACTCATTTTTTCCTTTTTGTTATGCTTCTTTCTTAAAGATGCTTTTTATTACTGATCCAATATCTGTTTGGGATATGCTAGGGAACACAGGGATATTTTAACCAGAGAAGCGCGTGTGTTTTGTCCCAGATAAATTTCCTGTCCATCTGTTTCCTCATTTTCCTCCTGTTGATATTGATGACCCTGCTATTTAAAATGACCAGGGGTGGGTAGATTTTATTTTAAGGCTTCTTGCTGCCTTGTTTCTAATAGCAGGCTCAGTATTGATAAGGCAGCTCTAATATATAGCCTTAGAATCAGATAGATACAGGGTCATATCTCTGCCATATATTACCCATGTGATCTTGGACAAGTTACTTCAGTTTTCCAAATGTTGTTGTAATAGGAATGTTGATGCTTACCTTACTGATCTGATAGGATTGATGTGATTAAATATATACATAAGGCATCTAGCATATTTTTTCCTCTTCTCCATTTTCCAATAATAGAAAGCAAAGAAACCATCATTTTTAGAATAAAAGAGGACAGATTTGTTTCCTTTGCTGTCAGCTCGAAAACATGGGGTAGAAGAGGATTTTTTTTCTCCTTCTGTTTTCCTTTTACCCTAAATACTTAGATTCTACAGTATCCACCAGTAGTGTCCATGTTTGCAAATGGCCTACAGACTAAGAATATTGCTGACATTTAATATTATATTTTTATTTTTATTTTTTTATTATTATTTTTATTATTTTTTAGGCGAAGCACCCTTGGTTGACCTCACAGATTGCAAGGACCTTGTCAGTTTACAATCCCTTATTTTTTATTTTTACGCATACAGCACCTGGTCTTCCTAGGTGGTCTCCCATCCAAGTACTAACCAGACCTGACCCTGCTTAGCTTCCGAGATCAGATGGGATCGGGCTCGTTCAGGGTGGCATGGCTGTAGACTCTATTTTTATTTTTATAACTAATATAATTTTATGCTTTTAGGTCTGCCCCACAGTGGCAGAAATAGCTTTTGCATTATCCTGTTGTCATCTTTATCAAACTTTTTTTGGAACTGATAAAAATCTATTAATTTTCATGTTTGTTTATGGCGTGTTCCAATTAAATGAAGAATAATGAGAAACCCTTTTAATTTTGACCATTACAGAAACT